CCCCAAAACCCCAAAACCCCAAAACCCCAAAACCCCATAAATATATTATTATTAACGATTTAGTACCAAATATGAGTGCGTGTATGTAGTTATACACTTTTATGCGAAATCATAACTTTCTGCTAACATTAATTTTAGACAACACAGAGACGATAGACTCCTGCATGATCAACATTAAGACGTAAGATAGCCCTAATTTCTAATATTTTTAACATATTTATACATCTTCAGAAGTTAATTGTCTGTTGATATAGAATTCCTAGCAAATGACCTAAGAAAATTGCCTTAAATAAGCTTGAGCCAAAGACCAACAAGAGCAGGAATTTCATTAAATAAGCACAGTAGGTCTCCAATTCTTCGAGCTGACTAAATTCCTCATAAATTTATACCAATTATGTCTCAAATTTGTATGAAACTTCCCTTTAGATACCACCACTGGGGCTAAAACTAATATAAAAGGAAGAGAACCAGGAGTTTACAATGCTTTTATCTCAAGAAAAAGCTTCCGGAACAACAAAGTCAGCAATACTAAAAGTGTCTACAAATAAAGAGAAGTCTAGTGAAAAGCCTGTTACCCAGCCAAAAGCATCATCCAAATGTAGTCTGAATCATAAAATTAATAAAAATACTCTTTACAGGAAAACTTTCAGGGTAAGAATTTTGGAGTATTTACATAAAATTTAGACTAAGATCAGCCCAAAACAAGGGTACAGTCGGAATATTAGCAAGCCCAAGTATCTTGCGACACGTATGAAGTTGCTAAATTCTTTAGAGCCAATAAATTGTTACTCGATCAAACTCCCAACGAATACTGGTAAGTTTATCCCTAAAGTTCATAGACCATATCAAGAAGAAGAGAGGGAGCTCTAAGCCAAAAACAAATTATAATCAAGGTTAGATTCAAGTTAAATTTTCAGGGAATAAATGGTGAAGTAGCTTCACTTACACAATGAGAGAGTCTAATAAGTTCAAATTCGCAAGATCTCCACAAAACAAGTATATATGCTGGCTTATTATAGACCTAAACGGCCCATAGTTTGAAGCAAATCTCCAAATGTGTCACACAGGATGAAAGTAGCCAAACCAGGAAAGCTCCCATCCTGTAAAAAGAGAAAAGAAGAAATTAAAACAAAATGTGCGCTTACAGTTACCAATTTTTATAGGTAGTCCAAAGCAGAAAGCAAAGAAACTTGTACCTCAGAGCTATCGTAGTAACATAGTGCCAGCTCCAAGGATCTGTAAGAAGTTGATCTCCAAGAGGGAAAACCCTAAAAGGTTAGGGAAGTAAGCCTTACTTGATAAATCCTAATAGACGATCCCCTCCAGCAATTCCCAAAAGAAGCATCAAACTCAATCTGGCCAATATCTCTACTAATAAGTTCCCTAGCAAGCAGCCAGAGGTGAAAATGGAGAAGTATTCTAAATATATCATTAAGAAGGAAGCTCAGGAGATTAATAAACATGCTGAAAATCAGCCAGAGGGAAACCAGAACACGATTTCCAATGTAAATATAAGCATTGAGGACCTTGAATGCATCACTACTTCAGAAGGTGACAAAATCCGCTCCTCAAAAGAAGTCCCTGAAATTGTCTCGAAAGGTAAATCTGAGTTTTATCGAAATAGAGATCTTCCTCAGTAAGGAAACTGACCCACCTATGAGAATTTACGACATGCCTGAAGACCTTGAGAGTGAAGTATCAAGCTTCAAGGGTTGAATCTCCCCTGACAAGCTCTTTGCTGATCCTGATGAATCTCAAGAGAATACTGTAGAACGAAGGATCGAGATCCTTGAACTTCATGACTTATTGCTAGATGAACTTTGTGTGAATCAAGAGGAAAAGTTGAATCAAAAAGTTTCCCAAATAGAACTTCTAGACGATCCAAGCGAAGCCCATAAAGAAGAAGAGACTAAGAAAGCTCTTAAAAATAACCCTCAGGACCAACAAGATCGAGAACTCAATGAAAGGGGAACAATGTCTGAGAATTCTAATCCTGAAGATAATGGAGAGACTACTGTTGTGAATTGAACATCTCAGGCAGGTGCTTTCTCCCAAATAAATACTGACAGAGTTGACTAATTATTTCAATAACCAAGTAAAATATAGGGGTTTTGGGGTTTTGGGGTTTTGGGG